TTATACAGAGAATATGAGATACAGATCAATATGTTTCTATATTTTTATATAGGAAGTCTAATAATAAATCATTTATACAAAGAATAAAAAAATACAATCTTAATTTGAAGTTTCTGATCGAGTTAACAGAGCATAATATTTGTGTCATCATGGATCATTTGCTCCACTTGGTAGCTATTCATGGCCACTGTTCGACTCCATGATCTTTCTACAAATCCAATCTAATTACTTTTAAATTTCTTTCGGAGATCTGTACTTATTTCTGCATAACTATCCAAATAACAAAAGATGTTAGATAAAATCACCATAATGTTGACAAATAACTCAGAATTAGATATGAGAACAAAATCTCATTATATGGGCGTCAACAAATCCCAATGATTGGTTGACAATAACTCAGATTTGTATACAGATCTGAGGATTATTTGCAAAAAAATAAACAAAACAAGAAAAAAAAAAAGAGTAATCACCGGTGAGAGCTCACTGGTTGCCGTTCGTGGAAGAAGAAAAAAGAGTTTTTAGATTTTAGGTTTGAGAGAGAAAGAGAGAGCGGCTAGGTTTTATTAATATCTCTCATGAAATAGCTTAATTCTTGAATATGCTTAACCTGACTTGATTAACACCTATAGATATACTAGTTTATGTTTTTTTTTTTTTTTTTTTTCATACATTTATTTTTTTTTTTTTTTTTTTTTTTTTGTCATACATTTAATTTTTTACGACAACATAATTACAAAACAATTACCAGAGAATTTGCTTATTTGGAGAGAATTATAATTAGAAGGTTGGGAAAATTACTATTTTGTCCCTGTATTTTGACCCAATTAATAAATTCGTCCATATATTTTAGTTAAATTATTTGAACACCCCTGAAGTTTGCTTCTGTCTGACTAAATAGTCCTTCCGTCTAAAAAGTAACACTTTTCCGTTAATTTTACATAAAAAGACTAAAACACCAATATTGTGGGATCCACAAAACATTAAAAAAAGAATCATAATTTAATCTATAGAAACGCAGTTATATTACAGTTCGGCTCATGTTTCCTCGGCGACAGAAATAATACTCCTCTTCGCCATTCGTCTCTCGATGTCTCTCTACAATTCCGATCACTCTTCCTCTACCACTGTTTCTATCACCACTAACCTTGTTTTCTCGACCACCAAGTCACAACTTATTGTCGCCATCTCCTCCTCTCTAAGACCACTCACTTCCTTGATTGAATCATCTTCATATGCTCCTTTTAGCTCCACTATATTCCCATTGAAACTAGAAAAACAAGGAAAAACAATTAATTCGTCCTTAAGGTTTAACTAAACTAACTAAGTCATCCCTGCAGTTTGACAATATTAATTAACGGTCCCTGAGATTTATCTCCATCAAACCACTTGGTCCTTTCATCCATTTTCTCTAGATTTTTCCATTAAAACCTTTTAAAAAGACTAAAATACCTTGACACCTAAGAAGGGTAAATAATTAATTCGTCCCTAAGGTTTGACCAAACTAGTTAAGTCATCCCTACAGTTTAACAATATTAATTAATAATCTCCAAGATTTACCTCCATCAAACCATTTGGTTATTCTGTCTATTTTCTTTGGATTTTTCCATTAAAACCTTCAAAAAAAAAAAGACTAAAAAAACGTGACATTGAAGAAGAAAAAGACTAAACTAACCTAGGTTAGAATTTCCATTTATCGTGGAGGGAAAACGAAGAGTTAGGGTATATATTGATTATTTGATATTCACCCATAAAAAATTTTGATCAACATAATGTGTCACTTTACTATCTTGAGTCACCAATAAAAAGATGAAAAAGAAAAATATACATCGAGTTAATTTCAATGAAAATGATAGGCATTTAATCTTAGGTATCAATATTCAAGAGAACAAGTTGTTTTATATATTTCATTACAAACTACAAATAATGAAATGAAGGTAGGACCATAGGAATAGTAAGAATATTTTAGAAAATAAATTCATCGTTTTTCCAGAATTTCAGTTGTAAATTTGATAAGACTTAATTGTTATTCTTAAAGCATATAAACTAGATTAGTTTAGTCTTTTTCTTCTTAAATGTAATGATAATTTAGTCTTTTTTTAAGGTTTTAATAGAAAAATCAAGAGAAAATAAATAGAATGACCAAATGGTTTGACAGAGGTGAACCTCAAGGATCATTCATTAATATTGTTAAACTGCAGGGATGACTTAGTTAGTTTGGTTAAACCTCAAGGACGAATTAATTATTTTCCATTGTTATGTGTCAGGATATTTTAGTCTTTTTTAAAGGTTTTAACGGAAAAATCTGGAGAAAATGGACGGAAAGACTAAGCGGTTTAACGAAGGTAAATCTTGGAGACCATTAATTAATATTGCCAAACTGCAGAGATTACTTAGTTAGTTTGGTCAAAACTCAGGGAAGAATTAATTATTTTCCCAAAAACAAAAAGAAAATTAGAATTGGAATCTGCTTGTAACCATGGTGCATGATCTGGACCTCACGGCAGACATCTTCAATGTCATCGCGATTGAAGTTTGGATTTCAAACTTACGCAACTCCATTGACGACAACAAGGCTACAACAATCTTCAATCGAGTACTAGAGGTTTGTTGTTTCTTTTGGTAGGAATTTGAAGCCTGTAAATGCTGCTGGGGTTGTCTGTTCTGGTTTCAGAATGTTATTATTGTACCGATAACGTTGATTTGTAAACCTATTATGGAGTTGGTGATGACAGTTAAGGGGATATAGGTTAGGGGGTGACAATAGCGGGACAAAGATGCGGCAGCGATGATCGGTCAAGGTCACTTGCAGTTTCATTTCTCTGATCTTCTGAGTCGTCAAATGGTATAAGGCAAAAAAAGAAAATATAATTTAAAAATATTAAAATGTACATTTTATCATGTTTATGGGTCCCAAAATAATGGTACTTTAGACTTTTCACACAAAATAAATGAAAAAAAGGCAATTTTTTGGACAGAAGGACTAGATTATCAGACAGAGTCAAACCTTAAAGATGTCCAAGTAATTTGACCAAAATACATGGATGAAGTTATTAATTTGGCCAAAGCATAGGGATAAAATAGTAATTTTCCCTTAGTAGGTTAATAAAACTAATTGATTGATTGGAAAAGTCAATTGTCTACAAGAAAGAGTGATTTGTCGACTACTATGATTAATTACCATATTCTTTTTTTTTCTACTATAAATATGAATTCTTGTATATAATATAACATATATATTATAGATTATGTTATGTTGGAGGCTTATGCTAGTGGTTCAGGTCAAGCGGTAAATTTTCAAAAAACCGAGTATTCAATTTAGCTCGAATGTTATCGAAGATCTTAGAGCTTGTATCCGGGGTACCCTTGGGGTTTTTAATCCTCTAGGCAATGGGTCTTACTTGGACTTGCCGTCTCTTATTGGGCATAATAAAAAACAGATTTTTAGTTTCTTAAAAGAAAGACTCTGGAAGAGGTTGAATGGGTGGAGTAACAAATTCTTGTCTAGGACAGGGAGGGAAGTTCTTAGAAAATCGGTTGCCCAAGCTATTCCTACTTATTGCATGAGTATTTTCCAGCTGCCGCAGTCTTTGTGTAATGAGTTGCAAGTTATTTTGAATAGATTTTGGTAGAATGGAAAGGGTGAAAGGGGAATCATCGACTGGCTTTCTTGGAGTAATATGAGTGGTCATAAGCGCTTTGGTAGGATGGGTTTCTAGGATCTTTTTTGCTTTAATATTGCATTACTAGGAAAACAGGGATAGATGTTATTAACTGAAACCACCATTTTTCTTTACAAGGTCTTTAAAGCTAAATAGTTTAATTAGGGGAATTTTTTGAATACTCAACTAGGTAATAATTCTAGTTTCATTTTGAAGAGTGTCCTGTCTTCTAGTAGGCTTTTAGAGCAAGGGGTGGGTTAGAGAGTGGGATGGGGAGGATATTTATGCTTCTAGAGATCCATGGATTCTTAAGGAGGGCTCTTTTGTTGTAGAGGATGGGGCTCGCTTTATTAATAATACTATGAGAGTGTGTGATCTTATAGTAACTGGGGAGAGTCGGTGGGATATTGAGAAAATTATTAACCTTTTTAGTGTGATATATGCTTCTGCTATAATTGATGTCCCTCTTAGTATTTATAATAGGAAGGATACTTTATTGTGGCATTATGACAAAAAGGGTGTGTATAGTGTTAAGACGGATTATTATTTGAGTTTGAAGATTTTTGGTAGAGAACCACCTAGATGTCCAGGGTATTATCATTAATTTGAATTCAATGTTTAGTGTCTTTTGAATTGTTTTGTAACTTGTGAGTTACTTTGTCTTTTGGATTTCCTAGATGTCTTTTAAGTTTTCTAGATTATTATTATTTTCTAGATTATTATTATTATCATTTACTAGATGTCTTTTGGTGTTTCCAAGCTATGTTTTTGCATGGCTATAAAAGCCTATGGTGTTAGCAATTGAAATATATATAGAAAAACACTCTTGATCAAAAGTCCTCTCCTCCTCTTCCGTCCAACAAAGCGGTATCAGAGCCATATTTCCTTGGAGTGAAATAGAAAGTTAAAGAGAGTTTGAGAGATGGCAAACAAGAGATGGCAAACAATGGAGCTACACCCTTCGCATTCCCTCGTCTTACAAAAGAAAATTATGCGAAATGGTGTCTTCGAATGAAAGCATTACTAGGCTCTCTAGATGCATGGGAGATGGTAGAGAAAGGCTTTGAGAAGCCTGAAAATGAAGAGTTTATCTCAAAATGAGAAGGATACTCTTGCCAAGTTCAAGAAGAAGGATCAACAAGCCCTCACTCTCATCCATCAATGTTTGGATGATATGATGTTTGAAAAGGTAGCAGATGCTCCAACAGCGAAGGAAGCTTGGGAGATTTTAGAGAAATCTTTCCAAGGTGTTGATAAAGTGAAGAGAAATCTTTCCAAGGTGTTGATAAAGTGAAGAAGGTGAGACTTCAATCACTAAGAGGAGATTTTGAAGCATTGAAGATGAAGGAATCTGAATCAATATCAGATTATTGTTCGAGGGTGAAGGAAATAGCAAATCAGTTAAAAAGATATGGAGAGAAGTTGGAAGACGTTCATGTGGTAGAGAAAATCCTTTGTTCTTTAATTTCGAAGTTTGATTATGTTGCTTATGTCATAGAAGAGTCAAAGGATTCAGACTCTTTGACCGTTGAAGAATTGGAAGTATCTTTACAAGCTTATGAAGAGAAGATTAAAAGGAGACAAGAAGAATCTTTGGAACAAGCTCTTAAAGCCAAAGTAACTTTGAAGAGCGATGAAGTAGAAAAGAGCCAACCAAGAGGATGTGGAAGAGGAAGAGGCCGCGGAGATTTTAAAGAAATCTTTCCAAGGTGTTGATAAAGTGAAGAAGGTGAGACTTCAATCACTAAGAGGAGATTTTGAAGCATTGAAGATGAAGGAATCTGAATCAATATCAGATTATTGTTCGAGGGTGAAGGAAATAGCAAATTAGTTAAAAAGATATGGAGAGAAGTTGGAAGACGTTCGTGTGGTAGAGAAAATCCTTTGTTCTTTAATTTCTAAGTTTGATTATGTTGCTTATGTCATAGAAGAGTCAAAAGATTCAGACTCTTTGACCGTTGAAGAATTGGAAGGATCTTTACAAGCTTATGAAGAGAAGATTAAAAGGAGACAAGAAGAATCTTTGGAACAAGCTCTTAAAGCCAAAGTAACTTTGAAGAGCGATGAAGTAGAAAAGAGCCAACCAAGAGGATGTGGAAGAGGAAGAGGCCGCGGACGAGGCCGTAGCTAAAATGAAAGAGGAAGAGCCAATGGCAATAATTATGAGGAGAGAAATCAGTCATCGCAAAGAGGCATGGAAGAGCACGTGGCCGAGGACGAGGCTAAGGTCGAGGCTATTATCAAAATCCGTATGAAAGAAAATATGACAAGTCCAATATGGAATACAACTGCCACAAACTTGGTCATTATGCCTCAGAATGTTACAATACTCCTGACAATGTTGATGAGAAAGCCAATCTGATAGAAGAGAACAAAGAAGTTGAAGAGTCGTCTTTATTGCTAACAATCAAGAACGATGATAAAGATGACAACATATAGTACTTAGATAATGGAGCTAGAAATCACATGTGTGGATGCAGAGAAAGATTTGTGGAAATAGATGCATTTATCTCATTTTGATAACAAAAGGTTCTATTATTGAATCATCGCTCAAAATTGAGTTTATTTTAGAGTAAAAAGGGTTGATCAGACCAATATTTTAATAAAAGAATTTTTCATCCTTCGTTAGGAATGCGAAGAACACAAGATAGAAGATTTTCATCCATCTTGATTTAATAAAAGATGATAAGGTATATGATTTTCATGATTAAATTGAAGGTTGACATAAAATAATTTTACAAGATAATGATATATAAGAGTATTATTAATCAAAAGGATACGCTAATTTTGATTATAAAAAATATCAAAAATGCCACTTTTTCTTGTACATAGGATTATTTTTAATAAACTGTAGGATTGGAACGGATTGTCTTGTCAAGCAATTGTTGAAAAGAAGCATACTCAATATAGGAGAAGATTTCCATTTAGAAAGAGAAAATTTTAAATGGCAAATAAAATTAAATAGATGAAAATGAGTTATAGGACAAATTTAATCATATGAAATAATAAAAGCAATCATGTCAAAAAAATGATGATTTCTAGACTTTATGACAAAAAAAAAAAAAATTTCATAGCAAAACAAAATGCAGGTTTTTTTCATATTTTTCTGACTGGATTAAAAAAACAAAAAGGTTTGAAACGTTGACGTTTTAATTAAAAAGATAAAGTTATTAAAAAAACAAAAAGGTTTGAAACGTTGACGTTTTAATTAAAAAGATAAAGTTATAATTAGAATAGTTATAATTATAAAATTAAATATAATAATAAGACAATCTATAGTAGAAAAAAGATTATGTAGGTGTCTAAATTAAAAATTGACTTAAACTCAAATTTTCTCTCCAAATATCAAATTCATTGTTTAATTAATTAGTAGTACTTCAGTCAACTATAGTGATAGTCTTCCCCTTGAATAAAAACAAAATTGTCTTCAGAGTCTTACACCATTTTAATACTTATTAATAAATAGAAATATAATTTTTAATTTCAATAATAAACTATAACATTTAATTTAATATATATATATATATATCAATATTAGTTTGGTTCGGGTTGAATGTAGAAAAAGAACAGAAATATCAATATATATATATGAATCAATATTAGTTTGGTCCGGGTTGAATGTAGAAAAAGAACAGAAATAGAAAATACAATAGCATAATTTTTATTGACCGAGTAGAGAAGCCGCACAGACCTAAACATACACTTCTCATATAAGACATCACTAATTTTATAAAACTAAGGTTTTTTTTTTTGTTTTTTTTGTTTTTTTTTTTTGTTTTTTTTGCGATTTTTCGATGTTAATTCAATTCGGTTCTACCGTACGACCTAATTTGGACGAAAGAAGAAAGAGGAAGTGGGGTTGCCATGGGATCTTATCTCTTAAGCGATTAAGCTTCGGTAAGTCAAGAGCCAATGCTCTGATTCTGATAACAACGATGTGGGGTCCGAATACTGTATGGCAGCAACCCAAGAGGGGGGGTGAATTTGAGTTTTCCTAAAAAAACTGAAATAAATTTTTAGAAATTTCTAAATAAAAATTTAGAATTTCTAATGTGCATGCGGAAAAACATTAAACAGAAAACTTTTGTGAGAATTAGGAATATGGATTAGGAATCTTCCTCATAGAATTGTTCTAATTTTTCAAAATATTTTAGGAAAAGGTCTGTTGTGCAAAAGTCAAGCTAGTTGAATTTTAGAAACAGCTTCAAACACTGGACTTGAAATAATACACAAAAAAAAAAAAAAATCAAGAAGACATTTCTTATAATGAAAAAGGACAGTATTATCGAACTTAGAAACATTCCTCATAAAGTTTGCAAAACCATATCTCTTCTCATTTT